TAACAAAGAAATTGAATTATACTCTTCTCTTCTTGCACTATCATATTTATAAATGTAAGCTCCAAAATAGCTCACCACCACTACAGATCATTGATTTTATCAATAAAATAAAATACAAGTATAAAATCGAAAAGATTAATTAATGTTTTACAATGCAAAGTTCCTCTTCTTCTCCTTATTTCTCTTCCTCTATGTAGATGTTAAATAACAATAACTGAAGGGAAATACTGTAAATTGAAACACTTAGAATATATGTTAAGATTTGCAAAAAAAATAAAAGGTAACTAGTGCTAGTGTTACTGTAATTACCTATGTTGTTGTTGGTATTTTTGTAGTAATATAAGTTACTTACATGTAAAGTATTACGCTTATTTTAATAGGACAGTTTTAATGAAAGTTATGTGTTTGCAAAAAAATTTTTTTGTGTGTGTGTGTGAGCAAAAGTAATAAAAATGTGGAAAAAATAATAATATAAAAAAAACATCAAGGGGTTACAAATCTCAAGCAGTGTCTCATCTAGAGTTTGCTCCATAAAGGAAACTAAGAGCTTACTGTACTGTGAATATTTCAGACGCTTAAAATTTCGGACACTTAAAAATTTCAGACAGTTTGAATTTCGGACACCTTTTGTCCGAAATTGAAATCGTCCTAATTTTTTTGCAATTATTATGGTACAATTGTTACTTCGTAACTATTATTTCATGTATGTGTTTAGTAACTATTCTATTCTTCAATATTTAGCCCTAAAAATGACTTTTTCTGCTCTATTGCAGTGTCTAAAAAGGCTAGCAGAATATATAAATGAACAGAACCAGAGTGTCTTTGTTCCAAGGGGACTGATGATTACTAACCCCATGGACAGAGGACTTCGAGTTGTATCCTTTAAGTTGCGTGCACATATAACTATAATGAACATTGCAGTTTTCAAACATATCAAAACATGGATCTCAATATAAAAGTAAAGCTTCAACCATTTTTCAATGAAAGTTTTAAATTAAAAAATTGCCATTTCCCTGGAAAATTTCTCAGTTATCCCTATATATTTCCCTGATGGAAAATGTTTTAAATTTTGAGTTGCTGCTTCTGTTCAAGGGGAAATTGTTACCAAGGTGTTAATCTTATCTTTTTTTGTCTTAGAAGGTTTATGCAGCTCCAAAATGGGACTGGGGAAGGTACTTTGTAATACTGGGCAGGGTTTAGTTTTGTAAACAATTCCTTTAGCTGAATATACATGAGAATTTGAAACTAAGCTTTATCATTATCTTATCCAAAATCCAGAAAAAATTCCCCCATGAATGTTTCAATTTTCAATAATTATTATTTTTGATATGCCATCCATGCCAGGGTTTTGAGTACAAGTACTGTAGAAGGCAGAAACAGGCAGATTTCTGCTGCTTTTTCCTGCTTGAAAATATGAGACTTTGCTTTAATAAGTAGCTGTCTATCAGACTACTGTATATCGTTAGCCAACTTATCAAAAACCCATCAAAAACTTTCTGCCTGCTATACTGTGGTTGTATACTTAATGGCTGGCTGGGAATGGCTTTATTCCACTAAGCAAAGAACTTGCCATCATGTGATTATCTTTTATTAAACCACTGGGTGAAACATAACAGGGTGATTTTTGACACTGGCAGACTTCTGGTTCATAGTCAAGGATGCCTTGTTTCAGCAGTATATTTTCCTGAAATTTAGATGTACGTAATTGGTGTTTATTTTCTTAGTAATGTTACAAGGTTTGTTTTGACCTGTTTTATTGTCAGTGGCAATGAATGATGTATATTTTCCTTGACGCATTTCTTCAGATTGAAATTGTGGTGGTTAACCCATTAGATCAGAGGTGACCAATGAAATCTGTCTCCAGTCCTTTGTACATAAATTGATTCAGTGTGGCACTGAATTCTGCTACTCCCAGGGACTACCAAGAGTAGCACAGAATCTGAAATAAGTCTGTTGGTTATATTCCAGCATGCCTGCTATAAAGCTCCTCATAATTAAAATATGTAGTAAGCTTTCTGTTTAAAACATATAGTTAAAAAAAACACTCTCCTTGTCAAGTCATTAATTATATATAAAGAAAATCAAATCAGACAATAATATTTATCCTAATTTGCGATTAAATATTTTGCTTTAATTTTGTTGGCCAAAATAGGTTACATCTGTGACTGTTTTTTCAGATCTTTGATACCCCTTATTCCAATTAGAATTGAAGGGCTAAGTCAAGTTGATAAGCAATATATTTCAAATGGAGAGTAGGTTCCAATTGGAAGCAATGCAGGCAATGAGCTAGTGAATGTGGACAAAATGCGAGTAAAGGGGTAACAATGGCAGCCTCCCACAAGCTGATCCCCCCTCCCCCAGCATCTGTCACACTGATCTCTCAGTGGGGAATAAATATGACAAAGAGAACTTTAATATCTGAACACAGGACCTCCCAGGAACCGAGAGGTGGTGGGTGGGGACAAACTGAGGGCAAAAAAGCAGCAATGCTACTCAAAGAGAAACCACCAAGTCAAATCTACAAGGCCATGATTCAAATGTGCATGTGCAAGGCAATCACCTGCTGGTTGAAAACAAATCTCCTTCCATATAAACTATGATTATTGGAAATCTCATTAAATTTATTCAAACTTTTTCTCCTTTAACTAAGTCTGTTAGTGAAATTCCAATATGGTCACTGTTCTCCTTATGATACGGTGTATATTAATTTACTGATAAAGTGTGGTGTCCAAAATCATCTGTTCTATATAACTTGGTAAGTAAATACAGACTAAAAAAAACTATCAATGGTAAATTTCAAAATTTAGACCTTCTTTTGTATTTAGTTCTTGCGGATATAATTTCTGGATCATTTTAGCCATCAGTTGAGGGAGCATCCATTATTTAATTAATTATTTTTCATGGCTTATTCCTTGGATCATCTGGGTTTTAGTTATGAGTTGCACCGTACATATAGAATGCCAAAATATTAATTTTGTATAAGTGTTATTTTGTTTATACAAATTTGATAGAATAGTTAGCGAGTTGTGAAATTTGTATATTACTTTGCTTTTAGGAGAAAGAGAATGTGTAATGCAATAAAATTAAGTCACAGGCATTTTCAGACCCATGGGAAGTGTTATTTATACCATACTAATTGTCAGGGCTTGAAGTGTATTTGTGAATACTTTACAATATTGATACTGGCTTAAATTGTCAAGGAATATTAAATACCGTATTGAATTAGTCAAGGAATGTTGAACATTGGATTAAAACCAGGAATATTAGAGTAAGTCAAATTATTCCCACATTTTGATTGGTTTCCACTTATGGTGCTTTGGAGGACAGACCCACAGATGACATCATGGATTCCCTTTTTTGTTTCTTTACTATATAAAACAAGTAGTCTGTAGATTCCATGTTGCTATGCATCTGTGGTACATTCTTACCACATTTTAACATCATCTGTGATGTATTATTTTAGGCAACATGGAAGATATTTGTCTATTGAATACCTTTGTACATGTAAGTACCACATCAGGCAATAATCATCTTTATTCTGGCCTGAAAATAGAGATTGGTTTCTCATGGAAAATTGGATTGGTATGATGCATAGTATTTAGCTTCAACGCCAAATGATAAGCAGTGTATGTGATTTCACGATCATGCAGTCAAATCTGTATTAAGTAGACATGCTCAGGGAATGCCCCCATGTCCACTTAATTATACAGTTTTCAAATGAAGACACTACAACCAAAAATATTTCTGCTAAAAAAAACAAACTCTAAGCTGTCAGTAGTGGAATGCCAAATAACTAAGAGCAACAAGGGTATAAGGAACTGTTTCTTTTTCTGCCATATTGTAGGAGCTTAATGCCTTTGATTAGAAAATACTAGTTACATTTATTTTCTTTTGATGATTCAACTTTCATGTACTATATGGCATTTAGCAAACGCTACTGATACAAGCTAAGCTGTCAGTGAAGACTGTTTTAGAAATTCAGCCCACAAACACACAGTTGTTCAGGGTTCAAATTTACATGGGCTTGGGATGAAAGGATTGGTATGTTGATCATTGTCAGTAATTCAAGGGGAGAATTATGTAACAGCTGATCATTTTACAAGATTTAGGTCTTTTGCATGCATTGAACATTGAAGAGTAATAAGAATGAGCCAAACAAAATGTGTAAGAAACATTTAAGATTAATTTTCCATTTGACCATAGTAGTAAATGACCTACTGTTTTTCATCATTGAAGCCGATGTACACATAATTATATGTCAGTAACAAATAAAACCAATTTTTCCAGTGTTACAGGTATTCATTCTGCATTTTGTTATATGGCTAGCTCCGTGAGCGGGCAAGATGAATCAAATCCTGCGCTGTGATTGGCTACCCGAGCGGGCAAGATGGAGCT